TTCTGGCGGAGACGCAGTCGCAGGCATCGGCGTTGCAGGAGAAAGTCAACAAGTTGGAGGAATTGCTCAAGCAAAAAGACGAAGAACTTTCCAAGTACGAAGGGGGGCAGGACAAGGTGGACAAACTTGAGGAGTTGATAAGGTCAAAAGATGAGGAGCTGGCGAAGTTTCAGGAAGAGCAGGAAAGATCTCAGGTACGTGACGCCTAACTGACATGTTGAATTTCACACTGGTGTTTTAGTAACACGAAGAGCAGGTGACTGGCGCTGAAAAACAAGAGTGGGACGCCCTCAAGATGGAACTCGAAAGTAAAATATCCCAGGCGGAGGAGTTGAACACCTCTCTTCAACTCGAACTCGAAAAGGTGCGAACGGAGCATGATGCCACGGAGAGAGACCTGAGAAATCAACTCAACGAGGCATCGCGGCAGAGTGCCGGGGACCCCGGGTTACAAGCTCGTTTTTCTGAGCTGGAGATCAAGCATCGGGACCTGCAGGCTGAGTTACAGGAGCAACAACATGTGACAGAGGAAGTCAGACGAGAAGCCTCCGCCTTTTTAATGGAGATGAAAGCTCTGTCAGAGCAAAGCCAGTCCCGCTGGGAGCACGAAGAGCGATTGTCCGGCGAGGTTCAACGGTTGGAAGAAGAATTACAGCAATGGAAGACCCGGTACGCCAAAGTCAAGACTCAGCTACGGCATCTTCGAGCATCATCCGGCATATCAGAGACTCGTCCCGGCCTCAGCACAGTAACTCAAGATAATGGTTTCATGCAGGACGATGGATTGGTCAAGGATATACATGTGACCAAGTTTCAAATTTCCATCGACGAGTTGCTTCGCGTCGCACGATCCGACGAATACCAGCTTGTGATGCATCAGATCAAGGGTGTTATTCTTGCAGTCCGTCATGTCCTTCATGACATTGAATCAATGCAAAACCCTGCCGACGGGTTAGCAGCTATGCGTACAAAAGCTACGCGGAAAGTGTCTGCGACAGCCAATAACATGATCACCGCGGCCAAGAACTTTGTCCGTTCGAATGGTCTTTCACCCGTCTCGCTTCTGGACGCTGCGGCATCGCACTTGTCGACTGCCGTTATTGAACTCGTTCGTCTCGTGAAAATCCGCCCCACTCCAGGAGATGAGCTCAACGAAAATGAAGAGGAACAAGATCAATTCTCGCAGATGAAGTCGCCCGACTATTTTAGCGTTGCTCCGAGCCAAAGCAGAATGAGCAATAACGAGTCGATCTATAGTGCTATGAGCGCCCCTTCTAATCATACTCGAAATGGGACAAATTCCCACTTCGATGCGGGATTTCAGAACGGCTTCTCGACAGGCTCACAGCTGAAACCTGAAGATCACGAGCTCCAGGAATTGAAGGTGAGTTGACTCTACTGTATCCTGTCTTCCCTGGGGTGGAAGCTAATCAACTCTGTAGCTGTACGTCGAGGACCAAACAGACGGGCTGGTTCAATCCATTCAGGCTCTCGTCTCCAGCATTCGTGCCGAAGACGGTCTGACGACCATCCGCACCCATGTTTCGGCCATTTCTTCTGTCGTTTCAAATGTCTCCTCATCCACAGAACATTTCATCAATAAATCCAACGCTAGTCCCGTCCTTCGGCAACGCTCCGGGCCCATACTTCAGACGCTGGACCTGCATCGGGCTCGTCTTTTAGAAACAACAGCCGAGGGCGACGATGCCATTGATATTGCGCAACTCCGAGAGGTCACCAAGAAGCTTCCCCCCATTGCTTTCGAGATTGCCAGAGAAACAAAGGAACTCGTTCATCGACTTGACCTTACCGATGACAATGACTCCGAAGACGACTTCCGGTAGTACTCGGCAACGGATTTGCTCAGTGCCTCGACTCTTCATCGACAAGCTTGTTTCTTCATCTTCTTCCTTGACATTTTTTCCATGACTCTCTGTCTTTCACTCTTTTGAAAAAGGCAGAATTGGTATCTTTCAACCCAAAACTTTGATCTGGGTGCGCAGTGAGCACCCATAGACTGCTGAATTTCCGATTGTTTTTACAGCTATTATGCACGACAATGAGCGGCCATGTGAAACGAAGTGTTCTTTAGTGGAGCTTCATGACTTTCTTCCTTCACCTTTCTTCTTAGGATCTAGTCTTATTTTCGACTTAGTGTATTCATATTGTGATTTGGTTTTTTGCTACCATTCGTGTACACCGCTTCTGCTCCATTTTTCGTTCTTCGCGACGATTAGCGTTTTGTCCTGTATGATCTTCGAGTCGCAAGCGGTGGTTTCTCTGTCTTCTTGCTTGCAATTTGCCTCGGCAATCCTGCTTTTGATTTTGCTTATTCTATCCCCTTCGTTGCTACCCTTTCGCATTTAGACGTTCTTATCTCATTGGAAGAACAGCCTGCCTTTGGTCCATCTTACATTGAATTTATATCTGACTTTATTGGTACTGTATATCAGTCTACTCACAGAGAGGTCAATTGAAGGCAAAACGCTGGTTAATCAGCTTATTTTTGCCCATTTTTTCAGTCTCAATCCCTAGAGCCGGGATATTTGTTGGAATCACGTGACTCCATGGTGGACCTCGAGCTCTCCCCAGGTCGATCCCGCCTCCTTTTTCTCCCTCCCTCGTCCTAAAGTTCCAAACAGGTTCTCGAAGCATTGTACTCTGCACATTTGGTGTAACATTATATAATCATAATCTTTCGCACCATACTATTTTGGGATTCTGTTCTAGTTTTTCTCCCCTGCTCTATCTTCACGTCTGGTTCTACTGCTCTCCATACAGCACGTCACCGTTCCCAGCATTCGTCTGCTTCATCATCTATTCAGGGTGAGTAGCACCTCTCCGTGTTTTTGGGGACTGGACATTCTCATGTGTTCCCAATTGCTTCTACTTGATGGGTTTGCTGTGCTCCTGATGCCCTGCAAAGGATGGCTCATCCCTAGCTCTGTGCCTAGCTCTGTGAGCTTGCTATATGCAGCCAACTTGCCGGCCAGCCAACCACATGGGAGCCTCAGGCCAGCAACAACCTATGCCAAATGGCTTACCTAATCTTGCACACATGGCTCTTTTCGGCTGACGCAATCCTTTTCCTTGTACCTTTAGTCCCGTGACTGCCCTGTCGGCCGCCGAATTGTCCCGCTTCTGCCCCTCCTTTTAGTTCCAGCACCGACAGCAACAATGTTCTCCCGTAGCCTCAGGTCAACAATAACCCCACCTTGCTCGTCCTTCTCTTCTCGTCCCCTCTTCTCCGTTCTCAATTGCAACCAGTCCTCCTTCCTGTCTCTTCGCAGATTCCATCAAACCTCCTCCGCCATGTCTCAGGTCTTCTTCGACGTCGAGTACGCCCCTGTGGGCAGCTCTGCCCGTAAGTTATTCCACGCCTTCCCTGTCTCTATTATACTGGCTTCCCGGGTCCGGGGTACAATTGCATTACCCCTCCATCCCACTTTTCAGCATCGGCGCGGGATTGTTCTCAAACCAAGCCGTATTGATTTTGAATACAAATTATCCGATCAATGCTTCCAAATCCGTTACTGACGATATCTTTCTTCGTGCCTTGACAGCCAAGACTGGCCGTATTGTCTTCAACCTCTTCGATAATGAAGTCCCCAAGACCGCCAAGAACTTCCGTGAGCTCTGCAAGCGGCCCGCTGGTGAAGGCTACAAGGACTCTACCTTCCACCGCATCATCCCCAACTTCATGCTCCAGGGTGGTGACTTCACCCGTGGCAATGTGAGTTCCGGTCTTACATGGCGCCGTCCTCGCCGGGGCTGGTACCCCACATCGCCTTTTGGGGGCCAGGCCCTTTCCCCTTAACTTGAATGGGATATGAGGACTAATATGTACAACTTTTTGCACTCAGGGCACTGGTGGTCGCTCTATCTACGGCGAGAAGTTTGCTGATGAGAACTTCTCGCGCAAGCACGACAAGCCTGGTATCCTCTCGATGGCCAACGCTGGTCCTAACACGTAAGTCACATCCTGCGGATCGTCTATGTCTTCAAAGGTACCCGAAGTTGTATTGATCGCCTTGTAGCAACGGCTCTCAATTCTTCATCACCACCGTTGTGACTTCTTGGCTCGATGGCAAGCACGTTGTCTTTGGTGAAGTTGCCGACAAGGACTCCTTCAACATCGTCAAGGAGATCGAGGCTCTCGGAAGCAGCAGCGGTGCTGTCCGTTCCAACACTCGTCCCAAGATCGTCAACTGTGGTGAGCTGTAAGCAATGAAAAGGAGGAGATAACGGTTTCGATCGAACGGGACCCTCTCGGTTCTGACGACACAAAAGATGAAGCCTGTGGCTCTCTGTTCTCCGATCAGGCCTTGGGAGTCCCGACGTCTCTTTTTCCTGCGTGGTGTAATCTAGAACTGTTCCCGAATTATTAGCCAAGCATGCCTCTGTCCACTTTCATTTTGTGCCGGCCAATTGCTTCTAATTAGTTCCGTTTCTGATCACCTGTATATCTTTACTGTCCGCCTCGTAACTGACTCCCTGCCGTGCGATACGATCTATAAGTCATGTCTGGTCCGACAGCTTCATGAAAGCCAGGCTTGTGAATGTAGAGCTGAAGGGTGCCATGATTGGAATGCCAGTATAGGTTGTCCGGCCTTGATTGCGAAGATCTGTTCAACCAGCCTATCGTGACCTTACAATGAAACGACTACGAAACAAACATGGAACCCAGATGGTAAACTGATTGGGTTATTTCTGATTGTTGTCATTGATCTCATTGCAAACAGCTTGAGGTATCTTGGTCCACAGCGTGTACCTTCCATTGCAGATCTGAGAGTGGAGATGCGGGACGCTTGAAATCGAGACATTATTTGAAGCTTGATTAACAACAGCGAGTCGCCTTAAAGTAAGTGAAAGACTCAAGTCAACGAATTGCAGGCCGGACCGCGAACCGTCGTCGGGAGACCCGGTGTACAACGAACGAGCACATCTATCCGCAGCATTTGGTGACCGTCGTGGCGTCATTCCTAAAACAAAGACACAGGTCAGTTTGAGCACGCCGTATACCATCCGAAGAAGTAACGGGGGAAAGGGAGGAGAACGACATACTCCCTCTGCAGATTCAAGGGCTCCCAGGAGAAGATGAAAGCACCCAGGAACGCCCCGATGAAGATACAGATAATGATGTACCCGTTGAAGTACATGGCCAGCAACATGACAAAGTACGCCACCGCGAACTGGAGCATATGCAGCAGGGCGCGGACCAACTGCTCGATCAGCGTGGGGCGGACGGGCGTCTTGTCCTCGAACGCGTTGCAGGTCGTCTGGGCTGCGCCTTTGGAGGCTGCTGCGCCTTCGACACCTTGGGCTGGGACGGTGGAGCCGTGAGAGTCCTCGGCGCCGCTGTCGGTGGCTGCGGTCAGGCCTTGGGACGAGGCGGTTGCGGAGAGGTACTGTTTTCTCAGGCGGGCGCGGCGGACGATGAAGGCGTCGTACTCGCGGCCCACGCGACGGAGGAAGTCGAGGCAGATGACGAGGCAGATGACGCCGATGCAGGAGCCGGCGAACATGCCGCGGGAGGTGATGTGCCATTGTTCGGAGAGGAAGCCTGGAGATGTCGGCGTTGGAATGGTGGAAGGACCACGCCACAACGTGAAGATGGAGAGAGCTTACAGGCATCGATGGTATTCCAGTTCCACAACATCTAGACGGTTGGCGAGGTCAGCCGGTGATCAGATATTTTATCTGATTTTGTCGTCGATGCTCCGAGTCATGCATACCGAGATCTTGCAGGAGTTCATGCCGTCCATGCCACCCATGCTCATGCTCATGCTATCAGAGCTGCCGGTGCTCATGGCGGCGCTGGCACTCGAGGTTGCGGACATGGCCATGGTCATGGTTGAAGTCATGGACATCATGGAGTCCGTAGCATGGCTCATATGATCCATTGTACTGGTGGGATAGAGGATTGCAGATGTGCAGTTAGGGAATTTCCGATGAGATGTGACTTGAGGTAGCGAGTCAGTCAATCCTTGACCTGGCCGACAGGGAGAGGGAGGAGGTGTGGAAGAGAGAGAACGGGAGAGAAGAGAAGAGCAGAGCAATAGAGAAAAGAATGAGAAGAGAGAAACACAGCTGCTACATAGAGATATCAAGCAGCAGTGACACCGTGGGAGAAAGTGAAGTTGTACAGCGTGACAGGCGAATCAGGGAACGAATGAGCTGATCCCGCAGCCTTTTCTCTGCTCTTCTGTGGCTCGATCGCATGATTCCGATAGTCTTTGGGTGGATATCAATCCGTGTTTTTCTGCTCTTTGTTTCATTAATTTGTGCTCGAAAGGCCTCAGTTTGCCGTCTGCTAAGAAGTACTTTGCTGCAGCTTAGACCCGTTAGGGTTTGGCTGCGAGTGGAATTGAGCACATTTCGGCCGCTTGGCTTTTTTTCGGCCCCAGAACACTCGAATCTATAATCCTTGGCCCTTCAAGTCGGTTGTCTCCGATTTATCAATGTGAAAAGAAATGGAATGCTCCAATAAAATACGAAAAATCACTTCAAAGGTAGAATCACCATCTATCGCCATAACCGGGACGCCCAACTCCCATAGAGCATACATGCAGGGTATAGAATGAATCAACCGCCAGATCATGGGTTTGAGGGTCCTGAAAAAGTCTTGAAACATCATGCCAAGTAGATATCATACTCCCCGGGTTGTCCCTTTAATGACTCCTTCCAAGATCTCACGAATTTGCTTGCATCCGTCAATTCCGACGGCAAGCATTGTCTCGAGATACGTGCAATGGACTTTCGAGTCCATCACCATCATAGAGACCTTCATGTCTTCCTCGTCCTCGTCCATCGCGTCCTCACCAACGGGAATAGCTGTTGTTGTCCCAACCGTCAGGAAAGGGAGCTCTTGTTCTTCTGGCAATGACAGATCTAGAAGGGGATCCAGAAAGTCATTCCGAGGATCACGTGGCGTAGAGGCGCTGCCGCTCATGCCTGAGGTACACGCAGAAAGCAGGCCCGGCATGGGAATACCGGCGTCCACAAGGGCCAGGGTGCATGCATTGACCGCTGCGGCCAGGAGAGACCCGTCGGCCGACAGGACTGAGATGTGAATGCTTATCGTACTGTGTGGATAGAGGTGGGTGTGGAGGTGTGATTGAAAGGCCGAGCGCAGTATCGTCGCAATTCGTGAAGATTGTCTATATCCGGCACATGTTAGGACGTAGCGAAAGGGATGAAGCGTAGCAAGAAGGTCTCATACCTGTCGCTGCCTCCAGCCCTCCTCCTGCGATCAACGCCTGCAAACCCCGCGACGTTGACGTCCACCTCGACCACAGCTCCCGCGGATCCTGCAGCACCTCCTGTCGCATCTCCCCTCTTTCCCTCCGCCGGACCATGAACAGAGCACATTATCGATGTATTTCCCATGGACAAAAAGGACGACCCAGAACTGGCGGGGTTGGTAGAAATCTGGGCTTGAAGAAGGCGAAGCTCGTTCCAGCGGCGTCCATCAAGGCGCAGCTTCGTAAGAGGATACGTCGTAGAGGTATCGAGAGGCATTTTTGAGTTCTTTGATTTATCGTGATTGTTACCAATTTCTGTGCTGGTTCCCCCACCGTTCACTTTAATGCTTGTCACGAGGAATTTTTCCTGGGATGTCAGGGACGTCAGACAGGTGTCAAGCAACAATGGAGAAAAAGCGCTTATGAAGCTGATGAAAGATGACTCAGGATTATCCCGATCCCAAATGACGGCGAGGAATTGCGCAGGTACAACGAAAGAGACAGACGGCGGAGGTCGAAGTGAGAGCGGACAAATTCAGTTTGCAGGCCGACAGCTCTTTTCCCAGTCGGGAAATCCGCCTGAATAAGTCCTCCAACTCCGCTCTCCGCATTCTCACCAGCACCTTCTCTGCGCATCTGGAGACAAATTTCCTGTCCCACTTTGTTCTTCAGAATGAGCAGAGTTCTTCAGAATGGGCAAAGATTGGGAGTCACAAGACACTGACATATCGACTGTTGACAATTCGGACGATGACGATCTCGATGTCACTCATCCCTCCAAGCCATCAATGCCTACTCCTCGCAGTATGTTTCTCCACATGTAGGATTTAGCTACAAGCTAATCTGAGGAATTTGTGTTTAGATACAGATCTTGTACTCAAATCGGACCCAGAACCACCTCAGTCTGCATCCGATCATGAGCTTTCCAAGATCAAGCAGTTTCCGTTCCCTTCCAACCGCGATACCTCCGTCGTTGACATAGCGGATACAGACAGTAGCGACGATTCCTTTAATGATGGCGAAGCAGCTTATAAGCAGTTCAAAGAGAGGAAAGCTATCAAGCGAAAGCGCAGCAGTGCCAATCTTCGCAAGTCTAAGAAAAGCAAAGTGGCGAATCCTGACTCGTTTGTCGGCAAAAGGCCGAAGGAAGAGGACGAGAAAACTAGTCGTACGAGACCCATTCGTATGAGGACATATGGAGAAGAACTTCCCTCGGACGATGAGCTCATGGAGTATACGCTTCCGGACTATCTGCAGAAGCGTCGAACACAGTTCGACCGGCGGATGGACCACCTGAAAGAGTCCGGGTTGAAGCTGCCACCGGATTTCGACGAAGTGGAATTCTCGGACGATGAGCGGTTAGAGTTTCTCAAGGAGAGACCTGCATTTAGGAACATAGAACCTTGCGGGAAGTACGAGGATATAACCCTTCCCTACTCGCTCGGTTTGATCCCGGCCCCCATTGCCCAATGGTTGCGGCCCTATCAGGTTGAAGGTGCCGCCTTTCTCCATGAACTTTTCGTCTATCAGAAGGGCGGCATTCTGGGTGACGACATGGGTCTGGGGAAAACGGTGCAAGTGATTACTTTCCTCACTGCAGCATACGGAAAAACTGGTGATGAAAGAGACGCCAAAAGGATGAGGAAGATGAGGCGAAGTGGCCGCGACGGATGGTATCCGCGCACCTTGATTGTCTGTCCGGGAACCTTGATCCATAACTGGATTTCGGAATTCAACCGCTGGGGCTGGTGGCATGTTGATACATACCATGGGGACAACAAGGAGCTCGCACTGCAAGCCGCAAGGTCAGGCCGCTTGGAAATTCTCATTACAACCTATGGCACATATCTGCACAATAAGGATGCTGTGAACATGGTCGAATGGGACTGCGTTGTGGCGGATGAGTGCCACATCATTAAGGAACGCAGCTCCGAAACAACGAAAGCGATGAACATGGTCAATGCGCTTTGCAGGATCGGGCTGACAGGCACCGCCATTCAGAACAAATACGAAGAATTGTGGACGCTCCTCAATTGGACGAATCCGGGAAAACTTGGCCCGGTTACGACCTGGAAACGTACCATCTCGGAGCCCTTGAAAATTGGCCAGTCACACGATGCCACCCTGTACCAACTCAGCAAAGCTCGCAAGACGGCGAAGAAGCTCGTTGAAAATCTCCTACCTCAATTTTTCCTACGGCGCATGAAGACACTGATAGCCGATCAGCTTCCGAAGAAGAGCGACCGGGTCGTTTTCTGTCCGCTCACGGAGACACAGGCTAGTGCTTACGAAAACATTCTCGACAGCGACATTGTCCAGTATATCAAGGCATCCACCGACAAGTGTGACTGTGGCTCAGGAAAGAAAGCAGGCTGGTGCTGCCGGCAGTTTCTGCCCTCCGGAGGCAGATGGCAGAACTATGTATTCCCCGCTATAGCCATACTCCAGAAGCTCAGCAACCACCTTGCAACCCTCATACCGCAAGGGGCAGACTCATTCGAGAAGCAAGAGAAGGATAAAGAGATGCTGGAGATCGCCGTTCCCGATCAGTGGGAGCAGCTCTATCGGACCCGAGACTCCATTGTCAACTACGCCAACCCCGAATTCTGCGGAAAATGGAAGGTCCTTCGCAAGCTTCTGAAATGGTGGCATGCGAACGGTGACAAGGTGCTTGTGTTTTCGCACAGCGTCCGTCTTCTCAAGATGTTGCAGATGCTCTTTCATTACACTAGCTACAATGTGAGCTACCTGGACGGCTCCATGACTTATGAAGAGCGGACAAAGGTTGTCGACGAGTTCAATTCCGACCCAAAACAGTTCGTCTTTCTAATCTCGACCCGGTCCGGAGGGGTTGGCCTGAACATCACTTCGGCGAATAAAGTAGTCGTCGTCGACCCGAACTGGAACCCCTCGCACGATTTACAGGCCCAGGACCGAGCATACCGAATCGGTCAGTCTCGCAACGTTGAGGTCTTCCGCCTGATCTCCGCCGGCACGATCGAGGAGATTGTCTACGCGCGTCAGATATACAAGCAACAGCAGGCCAACATCGGCTATAACGCCAGCTCCGAACGGAGATACTTTAAAGGAGTGCAGGAGAAAAAAGACCAGAAGGGCGAGATTTTTGGGCTCGACAATCTGTTCGAGTTCAAAAACAATAACATCGTCCTCAGGGACATTGTCAACAAGACCAATGTCGCCGAGAGCAGGGCCGGCGTCCAAGTCATGAACATCGACGTAGACGAAACCGACACAGCGACCACCACACTGGACAGCAGCTCTGAAACCAAGAATCAAGACGACCAAGTCATGAGCCAGTTAGCCGCCATGATCCGCGGCGAGGCTGACGACGCCGCCCCCCAGGCCCAGGCCCAGGCTGCCATGACCCTGCAGAAACACGATCCCATACAGGCCATCCTCGCCGGCGCGGGCGTTGAATACACCCATTTGAACAACGAGGTCGTCGGGTCGTCCAAGGTGGAAGAACGACTCAGTCGGCGTGCGGAGCTTGCCGATGAAAAACTAGGGGACATACAGGTCTTCGGGTCCTCGCAAGACAAGACCGGCCGGGATTCCATTGTCGACAAGGACGGCCGGCCTATCCGGTACAAATTTCATCCACCACGGGAGGTGATGAAACGTCAGTTTTGTAGCATGGCGAAGCGGTTCGGGTTCGCTAGTGCCACTGAGTTTGCGCTTGTGGTGGAGGGTATGACGCAGGCTCAGAGACGGGCGTGTTTGGAGCGGTGGTATACCGAGCGACGAGAGATACTTTTAGGCAAGAGCTGATATTTTGGATTTGGAAAACGGGAGTTCTGTCTGTCTGGGCTTTTGTTCGAGAGATACCCTTTTGCTTAGCTGGAGTTGTGGTTGATATACAGCTTTGATCTGACTACGCGGTTATATTTGTACATAATGGCTACGAAAAGACGCTGGCAGTACAATTCGCAAAGAAAGTCATATCAATCCATGGATTATCGTTATGCAAGTGTGAATCACTAAAGACTCCTCGTTACTATAGCCAGGCCAGAGTCCACAGAGCCGGCAAGTTAGGCCACTTCTCCTGCCATGAAGCCAGAATCTCAGGTACGCGTTCGTCGAAGCTCCTACGGGCTTCGCCGGTACCGTTTTCCCAACCCTCGGCACCGTGAATCTTGCGTTCCTGGGTCGCGGCTTCGTTGAGTCGCGAGGCTAATTCGAGGATAGCCTTTCCTCCTACCAGGGCCTCCTCATGGTTATCTCTGATATCAACATTGAACACGTGGACTGGTCGGTTGAGGGACGCGCCCTTGTTCATGAGATCGTCTACGACGGCATCCCAGCACCGCTCCTCGCAGGTGATGATGACGTCGACCGCGCCTCCTTCCGTGCCCAGGGCACCCTTGTCGCCTTTCGACACATGGTCCACACGCGGCATCCCCGGAACCCAGTCCTGGAAGCGCTCCGGGCCCCATTTCAGATTCCGGTTGCGATCGAGCATGTTCAGAAGGCCGTTATTACGGTAGAGTCTTTCGTCCTTGGAGAGAAGCTCGTCATACATTTGCGAGTACGAAGTGGTGTTGAAGTTGTAGACATTAGGTTGAGTGATGGATGGTCCTGGAAGACGGACCAGGGAACCTGTTCCGAAGGAGATGACGGGGAAGGGAGAGGGCGCTGTCGAAAGCCGGAGATGGGCTTCCATCGAACGGTTCTGGTTCGATGCACATACTGTGCAGAACTTCAGCTTAAATGAGTCTGACGACTGTGCGGGTGCAGATGCTTCTGCGGCCTGGGCCTCGCCTGTTCCTGTCATGGAGGGCTCCAGGGGTGGAGGAGGGGGCGGAGGTGGTGGATTGGGAGTGGCAGTGCCCGCACTGGATAGTCGAGGGTCATGAGCCATGTTGAGAGAACTGGCGATGCAATCGAATATCACAAAGTGTGATGTGTTATTCTGAGGAGAAATGGAAGTGACGGCTTGGGAGTCGACTTTCCGAGACCAAAATCAAGGAGGCTGGAAGATGTGTTCACTTGTTCCTTGTAGAAGCTGCATTCAATTAGCATGATCGAATGTTGATGCTTGCAAAAGTAATGACCAAGGAGACAAAGTAAGGTATCAGAAAGAGAGTTATGCGTATAAAAAGGTTGTCCGCATTGTGTAGCTAGGACAGCTCCAATAAAAAGAGATCATCATGTGACGGCACAGCATGGGTTGATAGAGACTGATACTTCATAGTACATACCTTGAGAATGCCTCTCATTATCTGCGTCTTGAAATGAGCCTGATGTATTGTTTGTCAAATTATATGATCTTGACAGATGGATGAAGGGCCGCAGCCCTGATGACAGAAGTTGAAGAATCTTGCGTGCGTTTTTCTTCACACGAGGCTTTTGGGTGCTTTGCTGAGTCAGCAGCATCTTGACTCTGCGCTAACCCTTTCTAGAACTAACTATGGCGGGGTGTTTCTCGTCATGTCGGTCTACCAGTGCCATCCTACAATAGTGTCTTCCCAGGCTGCTCGATGCTGATGCTGTCTTCAGATTGTGCATGATAGTCAGCTCATTGGAGAGTATGGTATAGAAGGCTAGCCATAACTCAAGAACAACCAGAACAAAGGGGAGACGCACATACTTCGTGCCCATATCAGGGGTCGACCATTGCTTCTGGAAGGGCAATACAAACTAATTCCAATAGATTCTTAACACAGGAAAGCCGTCATACCCAACTCATGATGAGGGCAGCATTACTTGTGGTAGATATGCAGGAAGATTTCTGCCCACCGGTCAGCACAGCTTGCTCTCAGATCTGTGGAAAGAAGCTGATAGCAACAGGATGGATCACTCGCGGTACAAGGGGCTCGCTCAATTGCACCAGTCATCAACACTTTGCTCGCCAACCCAGGCTTCGTGATACGCGTAGCCTCGAAAGATTATCACCCCCAAAGTCATGTATCCTTTGCGAGCAACCATCCCGAGCCTAACAATCGCCCCTTTGAGTCCTTCGTCCAGATGACCAATCCGGCGCCTGGAAGGGAAAACGAAACCAAGGCGCAAAGGCTATGGCCCGTTCATTGTGTTGGAGGGACCAAGGGTGCCTCTATCATCCCTGAGATTGACAGTAGTAAGATTGACGTGCATGTGAAGAAAGGCATGGATGCGCGTGTGGAGATGTACTCCGCCTTCTCTGATGCGTTTGGCAACCTTGACCCGGCCCTTCATGCTCAGTCCGTGGATGTTGATCTCAAAGCAGTGCTAGCCGAGAAGGACATCACGCATGTGTTCTCAGTCGGAGTTGCTGGTGACTATTGTGTCAAATACACGGCTATTGATGCCGCGAGGGCAGGGTTCAAAAGCTATCTTGTCGAGGATGCGACCAGATGCGTTGATCCTGATGCAGGATGGGACGAGGCCAAGCGAGAGTGTGAAGCAGCGGGAGTATCAATCATTCGATCGGACGGGCCTGAGATCGCAGCTCTCGCTGCGTCTCCTGCACATGATACTCAGTATTAAAGCGAAATCGACATGATGACAGAGTTTGGAATCGAAACTAAGCTAGAACCGGCTAAGCATCAGACAAGTCGTCTGGTGGACCTTCGAGCCCGACCATTACGGAGTAATAGACTGCTTATATGATGCCCTGGTTTCTGAAGCGTATGTTGAGGATTCTGCCACATGCTGATAGTTGAAGTATCCTGTGAACGGCAGTTCGTGAGACTATGGCTTTGGACCATGCAATATTGACCATAGATAGTCCGTACCGATCATATCCACATTCTTGTTGGAGAAATCTAGATATTCGGGGTAGATATGTGATTTCAAAAAGAGTAATGTTTCATCATTGCTTAGGTGAATTAATGATATTGACACTGACACCTCTCCACAGTGGAGAAGTGTGCTTCTCCTGACCTCATCACCTAGGCTCACTTGCATTCGTCGCGGTTCTTGACTTGAACAGCCCTCGGAGATTTATAGATAGAGTGAAAAGAATGGCTGCCGGCTCAAATTTCTTACCCCTATTGTATTTTTACAGGAAGGAGAAACTACTCGAACACTAGAACAATGTAAGTGCTGTTGCGACTTGCGAACGTGCGGGTCCTTCAACCGACAATCATTCGGGTCGATCCCTTGCCAGTTGCCACGCGGCTCACCAACGGTCCCTTGCGCTGATCAGGGTCAACTCAATTCAAGGAGTTCGTAATTTCATTCCATCGTCTTAGGGGACTTCTCCTTCCTCAACTCAGAATGTCATCGTTCGGTACTCACCGAAGTATACCACAACTACGCAAGAAAAATCGCTTATACACACCAGCCACACAATGCCTACAACCACAAGACTCTCAACGCCAGCAGCGACGTTCACGGCTATCGATGAGGGGCTCGAATCACCCACCCTCAGCGCCTCAACTGCGCGCCTAGCTCAAAACAGGAACTTGACGGAGAAATTACCGTACTGGCTCGTCAATGTCCCCCCGTCACAGTGGCCGGCAGATTGTCCTGCGTTTCTGCGCGACTTGCCGGCCAAGTCCATTGCGATTCTGTCGACGCCAGATGCGGAGTACAAGAGACAGGATTGGGAGACGGTGAAGGAGATTGTTAGTAAGTGGGCCCGGCTTGGAGTATTGTTGTACAATCGGTGCTGACATGTTATCACCAGGAAGTAACAGGATAGATCTGTTCCAGCGCGTTCCGAGCGATCTGAGAAGGTATCTGGAATATAAAGCGCACATTGTGGCCAAGTATGGATCAATCATGCGATTCGTAGTCAAGGAGAGGCTCCGCTGGGGGGATGGACACGCCGATGATCTGAGGCCCAAGGGACGGCCGTTCGAGTTCGATGGTTCGTTTACCCCTATTGCTGAGGGAACCGGTCGTTCTGACTTGACTTTGTGCAGAGGACATCCGGATTTTGTACAATGACTGGCCGTATGGGGTCGAGGAGGGCATTGTGCATCTCGTTGTGTGGACCAAGTTCGAGCTGGAAGATGATCCTACCACGGATGATTTGACGCCTCAGGCGAGGAAGGAGATCGACGATTATGTGACGAGGACGTTTCGGTCGCGGGTGCCGGCTGAGCAGGTCTGCGGTTCTATCTGGCGATGAGAGATTCAGCCTACTAACCAAGCATAGGTCGTCTGGTTCAAGAACTGGAAGTCGCTCAAGTCGGTTCATGCAGTTGAGCACTTTCATGTCATGCTCTATCATCCAGATATGGAATTCGTCAAGGAGGTTACTCAGGGGGATGTGCCAATGACGGCAAGGATCTGAGCTGAGCTCTTACACAGAGGGGGAATTGCATGGCGTTGTTTGACTTGGGTTTGCTTCATATACTTAGGGCCAGATGATGGTGTAAGAAGGGCATTCTGAGACAGGGATCTCTAGACTAGACAGATATAGACACAGATCATGTTAATCTTAACCAATTAATCAAAGAGAGATCATAGGACTCCGTAATACCAGAGTAAACCCCACCTGCCAAGCTCCTGCCCCTCTCAATCTTGATAGTCGGTGAGAACGAGAAATACGATTACGAGCGTGTGTTGAATGGATGAGATCCTGACATCAAAAGTCAAACAGTAAATGAAAGAAAAGAAAGGAATAGATTGAGACCATCTTACCATCGCGATTGAATCGGGTAAATATTTGTAGAACTGTGGGGAAATGGTCATAGTTGATCATCGATCAACCTCTTCAGCCTTCTCTTGGAATCTGTATGAACAACGTCACTCCCTGCTGGCTGCTCCACCACAGTATAGACTAGACTACGCTCTGGAGAGTTCTGCTAGAGGAAAAGAAGAATAGTACTATTGTCTTTTTATGTTATTAAAAAAGTGGCACTGAAAAATAGCATGCCACAATAGTCAAGCGAAGAAGAAAAGGGAAAAAAAAAATCCTCTTCGTCTGTTTCTCCTCTCATTCTTCCAGCTTCATCCTGATGTAGATACGGCCCAAGCCTCCTCTCAACAAGGAACCACGAGACTTGTCAGCTGGTTTCATAAATATCTACCTAACAGGAGGAAAGAAAAGAGACATCAACAAGAAGAAAAGAGAAAAAGACTCCCCAAAGCGACCTCATCACTACTCTTCCAAGACCTCTTTTTCTCTTTCTCCTCCTCTTTTTCTTGCTCCTCTCTCCTCCTCTCCCTACGCGACAATTAATCTATCTGTCTATCTTCATTCTTGAACTTGAACTACTTTTACTACTACTGCTGCTTATACCACAGTAACAAAATGCCTATAACTGTTCCGCATATCCGCCGTCGTTCATCTGTGGCCACTTCCAGTGAGTAGAGTTACCTTAGATACTCCGTATTAATCATTGTTGTTGCTGTCTCCTCCAACACGTCATACTGTCTTCTTCTTCCTCCCCCTCCTGCAACTAATCATTCTCTCCGCCTAATTTTTCCCTCCATACTTTGCTTATCATTTCCACGCATTTTGTTTCCATCTATTCTTCTATATACTTCTAGCCATCTACATCACAATCTGTCATTCTAATCCATTATGTCCGCTGACTGGGGCTCCTTTTTCCATCATTCTTCAGGTACTCGTTCCTCCATGGATGAATCCAAGGCGGAAGTCGGAAGCGGGGAAGATGAGGTCGTTGAGCCTGAACAGGGCAATGGTATGTAATTAAAATGTTCAGTTACAACAAGGAGCTCGTCTCCGGAGGTTCTATTCTCGGCTGTAGTATAGGCGCTTACTCCTTTGCTCAGTGCTGTCTCATATCATTTCCCAGCTCCGACCGGGCGCAGACCTGAGTCGGGTCGTACTGCCTACCTTCATCCTGGAGCCTCGTTCCATGCTGGAACGGATCACCAAGTATGTGTGCTCGAACCTTGCATTGATACTCTGGCTAATCATGATCCCTATCGAAAGCTTCATGGCTCATCCGGAGACCCTTCTTCCCATGCCCACGATCGATGACCCCCTCGAGCGCTTCGTTTCCGTCGTCAAGTTCTACCTGAGCGGATGGCATATTAAACCTCCGTACGTGGTCTCAACTTGCTCCCATTTCGTTTTCCGAAGATGAGACACCCTTTCTAACGCTTACACTGCAGAGGCGTGAAGAAGCCGCTGAATCCGATTCTCGGAGAGACCTTCACCTGTTACTGGGATTACCCCGATGGCACGCGAGGATATTACATCGCCGAACAGACCTCTCACCACCCTCCCAAGTCCAGTTACTTCTTCATGGCGCCAGAACACCACATCCGAATTGACGGGACGTTGAAGCCTCGCAGCAAGTTCCTAGGAAACTCGGCGGCAAGTATGATGGAGGGTATCGCCATTTTGCGCTTCCTGAACCGCGGCCAAAACCCAGAGAAGGGCGAACGATAGTATGTGGCCACATATCCTACTTCCAGGAACTGCGGGGATATCATTCAATCTGATACTAACGGAATTGTGCTCAGCATCCTGACACAACCGAATATGTACGCCCGTGGCATCCTTTTCGGAAAGATGAAGTATGAGCTCGGTGATCACAGCTACGTCCGTTGTCCCGAAAACAATCTAGTCGCCGATATCGATTTCAAGACGAAGGGGTACTTCTCCGGCACCTACAATGCCATCGGCGGGACGATCAAGAACGAGAAAACGGGCGAGGTATACTATGAGCTGTCCGGACTATGGACCGGAGAGATGTTCATCAAGGATGTTCACGTACGCTGTCCTGATTTTGTGTCCTACATGACCACATACTGACTATTTACAGACTCACAAGAAGGATGTCCTGTTCGACGCAACACACGCGAAACATACCCCGCCCAGTACCCGGCCGATCGAACAGCAGGGCGAGCGTGAGTCGCAGCGGTTGTGGCAAAGCACGGTCAAGGCGATCATTGCCCGTAACCATGAGGCAGCAACAGATGAGAAGACAAAGATTGAGGACCGTCAGCGTGAAGAGGCCGCTAAGCGGGCCGATGAAGGAGTGGAATGGCGTCCAAGGCTCTTCCGCCCTGTTCACGGGGGCCCCGGCGGTCCCGACGAGGGTGAGGAGGACTTGGACTGGATCATCAGCGCGCATATGTGAGTGTGACGGAGGCGCTTTTTTTTACCCTTCAATCCGAGGTTGACCGCGGCACAGTGACTCTCAAAACCCTGAACACGCCGCGGAGCAAATCCTATCCATCGCGCCTATCCTGGATGGCCAGAAAGACAACAGCCAATTCCAGATTCCACCCCACGCACAAAAGCGAGAAGATCAGACCGCCCCCTCCGCATCTGACGCTGTGGATGTAAAGAACACTGGTAATGGCGCCGACTCCAGTCCCTCAGGTGCTCCCCAGCCTTCCAGCGAGGCCAAGAATTCTGTAGAACGCAAGGATTCTCGGACCTCCGAAGTCGATGAATATGTCGACGCGGAAGAGAATTAAGCCCTACTACTCTCAGCTATCTGATTCTGCTCATATTTACGCTCCTCGTCCGTCATACTATTTCGGATGACGTCCCGCCAATCGTCCGGACCCTAGCCCGTTCGAGAAAGGTCGACTTGAGAGCGATCTCAATCATTGCTTCAAACGAACGGGGAGCAGGTGCAGAAGCCATGACATGGTAGTCAACCTGCCAAGAAGAAGTAGCTAAACGAACGTGACATGACCCTCGCTACATTTTTCTGACGCAGCCGACGGGATCGCGTTGACTTTCATGTTTCAACACATCATTTCGTTTTCAATGTTCATTTTTGGTGCTATTTTACTCATCGAATGCGTCGCCCGTCCTGGATACCCCATTTGATTTTGAGAGGGGGGCGAAGGCGAAAAAGACAAGAGGACGCCTGGAGATTTGACACGCGAAAGAAAGGGGACACGGGAGGTTCTGGAGATGATGTTTCATATATGTGAATATACTGGAGATATGGGACTGATAGAAGGATGGGAGGTTAGGCTGGGGAGTATCTTGATTTCTATAATAGATCTGGTCCTTCTGACCTGCTTTTGCCCACCGGGCTGAGACTGGATAACCAAAAAGAATTGCACACAAAAATCTCTTCTGGGATATCATAGATCGAGCAACGAGATTGAGCCAAAACGCCAGAGCACCACCCATCCGGACCGGTAAACACCCAAAGGTCATAAAAACAAACCGCCCAGGGGAAAAAAAAAAAAATGAGACCCGAAAAATCAAGTATACAGCTCCCCCCGATACCCCGCGCCCCTCTCCAATTCCCGCCGTCGATTACCCTTGACGGCCGCACTACCGGGGCCCTCGCGGTCCTCGCGGTCCTCCTCCAGCTGGGCAGTAGCCTCCTCGATCTCCTTCTCCGTGTCCTCGCGCAGACCCAGGATATCCGGGGGGATGAAGCTCATCTGCACACTGGGGGCCCCCTGGATATAGCGGAGCTGCTCACGGACAGCCTGGACGAGACCGGCGAGGTAAGGGCGGGAGTTCTTATTCTCGAGCTTGCGCATTTCCGACAGGGGCGGGAAAAGCGAGAAGTCCGGGCCGAAGTGGTTGCGGAAGGCGACGGTGTCGGGGATGTTGGGGTCGATGAGGTGCTGGGCGTCGATGAGGATGGAGGTTTCGTGGGCCCAGGCGCGGGAGACGTTGCGCGGGGTGTAGCCGCCGCCGCCGACGACGAGGAGGGGCAGGCCGAAGGTCTTGACGAAGGCGACGCAGGCGCCGTGGGCGCCGACGTTGAGGTTGAAGCAGCCGAGGCGGTCGCAGCCGAGGGAGTCGGCGCCGCATTGGAGGACGATGGCGCCGGGGCGGTAGGTGTCGATGCAGGCGCCGACGATGTCGCGGAAGAGCTGGATGTAGGACTCGTCGTCGATGCCGTCGTTGAGGGGGACGTTGACGGCGTGGTGCGCGCCTGGGTTGAGCGGGTGGGTTGGGCCGGTGCTGTCGAGGGGCCCCGTGCCGGGGAAGAAGTTGTCCTTGTCGTATTTGTGGAAGGAGACGGTGAGGACGCGGTCGGTGGACCAGAAGGCCTGCTCGACGCCGTCGCCGTGGTGCACGTCGATGTCGATGTACATGACGCGAGGGTGGTGGCGGAGCAGCTGCAGGATGCCGAGGACGATGTCGTTGACATAGCAGAAGCCGCTGGCTTCGGCCTTTTTGGCGTGGTGCAGGCCGCCAGACCAGTTCACCGCGATCTCCGACTGGTTGTTGCACAGTTTGCGCGCCGCGTCGATGCTGCCCCCGGCGTAGAGCGAGCAGTAGTTGTACAGCCCGTTGAAGATGGGACAGTCGTCGCCGAAATTGAATCGCGCAACGTTCTCGCTTTGCTCTGGATTCTCCATGTCCCCGGGCATCACCTGCCGCAAGAAATCGAGGTAGTCGGTCTGGTGGAACTCGGCCATCTCTTCGTACGTCGCAGCGCGGGCCAGGTAGAGGTCCATGGCGTGGTGCATCCCGTAGGCCATGACGAGCTGCTTCGTGAGGGTCAGTCGCCACGGCTTCATGGGATGCGACTGGCCAAAGTGGTGTGGTTCCACGGCCGGGTTGGCGTGCCACGAGACTCGGTAGCCTTGAGGACGAGGGATGCCATTCGTCTGTCGCTCGAGGGAGACCTTCTGATCAACACTCAGGGTAGGATTCGAGGAGGGCGGCGGATTGTATTCTTGCACTATGGCGGAGCGCGCCATGACGGAGCGGTAGGGAAGTTAGGAGAAGAAAAAGAAGAGATAAAAGGAAGAGAAGAAATTAGAGTCATAAATAGATCCTATGCGTCTAAGACATGCTTAAGAAACCCAATTCAAGGTGACGAGGGGGAGAGGTTGGATCCGAAGGATTGATTGAATCGTTGAAGAATGTGGAGAAAGAATAGTTCAGCGGGTGAAGTTGAGAGGTGGCGGCCACTCCATCCCATCAAATATCAGCAGAAAATATGCACCTGCACTAGACTACTCGCTACCTAAACCATGCTTGAAATTATGCATGTGCTCTCTGCTCAGAATATCAAGATAGAATCGTCCGAATTACCTGACTGAAAAGTTCAAGCCATTGAACGAATCCATGTCTCTTCAAGATGAAATTCTCTACAGAAATCCACTCGCCGAGAAAATCCCGAGAGCTTATTAATCGACTTCCGATCTCGGATAAGTGGCAAGACAATGCTTCAGAGCAGGCTGCAGATAAATAGGGAGCCCGACAAAAGAAGGAAAGAATTGAGCAATTATCTCGGAGACATAATCGGTGTCTTGAGATTTGTGTTGGTGATACCGTGTGTTGGTCCAGTGCGACATCCCGTTGAGTCGACGCCGCTAAATTCTATCTACTGCTACGCCTCGCACTCTTTAAGGTTGCTAAGCTTTATTGATATTCCGTTATCAATCGAGCAGGAGCAAGAAACCCCTGCAACCTACATCTTCCACCTACGTCTTTCACCATGCCCATCGTTACAGCGGCCACTGCTCTCCGGCGGTCTCTTGAGGACCCTAAATTATTCATCATTGCACCGGGTGTTTATGATGGTCTTTCCGCTCGGATTGCCTTGTCCGTGGGGTTCGATGCACTGTACATGGTGAGTACCCAGCCTACCACAATTGTACTGTCGTGGTCTTTTTTCAAGGCTCAAACTGATCATTCCAGACTGGCGCCGGTACTGCAGCCTCGGTCCATGGCCAAGCCGACCTCGGTATCTGCACCTTAAATGACATGCGCGCCAATGCGGAGATGCTCGCCAATATCTCGCCCTCTACCCCCGTCATCGCCGACGCAGATACCGGTTACGGCGGCCCGATCATGGTCGCTCGCACAACAGAGCAATACTCGCGCTCGGGGGTCGCCGCCTTCCACATCGAGGATCAGGTGCAGACCAAGCGCTGTGGACATCTTGCGGGCAAGATACTGGTAGACAAGGAGACATATGTGAGTCGTATCCGGGCAGCGGTGCAGGCACGGAAGCGCATGGGCAGCGACATCGTTGTGATTGCGCGGACCGACGCACTGCAGGGCCACGGGTACGAGGAGAGCGTGGCACGGCTGCGGGCGGCGCGGGACGCGGGTGCAGACGTCGGCTTCCTCGAGGGGATCACATCCAAGGAGATGGCGCGGCAGGTGATTCAGGATCTGGCGCCGTGGCCCATGCTGCTGAACATGGTCGAGCATGGGGCAACACCGTCGATCACGGCGGATGAAGCCAAGGAGATGGGATTCCGTATCATCATCTTCCCCTTTGCGGCGCTTGGGCCTGCTCTGACAGCTATTCGCGAGGGTATGGAGAAGCTCAAGAGAGATGGTTTGCCGGGGTTGAGCAAGGAGTTGACGCCGCAGATGCTGTTCCGCACATGTGGGTTGGACGAGAGTCTCAAGGTGGACGCAGAGGCGGGAGGAGCAGCGTTTCAGGGCGGAGTGGACTTGGAGGATCAGGAGTAGACCTATGGCAATAGTCAATGAAGACAAGTTATCTTGCTGTTAATCACCCTTCCATCCACATGGAGCATCCATCCATGGATGTGGTTGAAAGAAACAGATTGAAAGAGAAATCCGGTCAGTAGTTTCTGTTCATCCCATGACCTTAGGGTCAAAATCTCAACGCCTGAATGCGAGACTGAGGCTGCTGGTCGCGACAATCTCCTCGGCATGTCAGCAAGTGTGATTTTGTGATGTCCCAATCGAGCAAGTTCCGACGCTATTCCTGTTCGGTAGTCTGAAACTCCAAGTCACATGATATTTCCCATTTAGTAGTTTTTGATCCAGTTTTTTCGCCATGTCCACTCCGAACGATGACGAGTCCTCGCTTGCAAGGCAATGATTTCCGAAAAGGAAATCCTATACCTGCTCTAAGTTTTCCGGAAGCGCTCGCCACCAAAAGTTGGACTTTTGTGAAAGGATTTCCTAACCGGGTCTGACGCCAAGCTCAGTGGAAATGACTGCAACCTCTGTGTTCATGGTAGGGCGTTCTCTGGTTCCGCTGTCAACCACGGCCAGTTTGTCCACGGATACCATGTTTATTTACCATGCAGTGGGCAGTAGCATAGTTCTAAGCGCCCAATCGGCAATTGGTATTTGCTACTGGGAATAGCGCGCACAATCATGATAGGGTTTTCCTCTTGCCTGTTAAATTGAAAATGGAATTGCTGACAGAGACTGCATTGGCCAACGCAGATATATCGCTCACATGTCATCATTACCAGTCAGTGACAGATTTGCTTCGCTCGTGTAAGTTTGGATAAGTCAATGACTTGGTGTGCCTGATAGCCCTGTTGTACTTGTACATGATGGATGTGGCAATTCGACAGTGGACAGTGGACACAGTGGTGGGGACGGATACATCTACTTTCCCTGTTGATTTGTCGCATACATTCAATTGCCATTCTAGAATCTGGCGGTGGATAAAGATGTGTAGATGTATTTGCCGTTTCTGCTTTGTATCGACCCACCTATGGGGGTCCTCAGTCTACTACTCTACTCTACTGGATGGAAGATCAGGCTGGCTAGATGGGTCTTCGGAGTTCAAAATTCAATCTTCATTGTTGACCTGGTCTGTTCCTAGATTCTGGATGGATTGATTTAGTTAAGGAAGAGATTTTCAATCATCTAATCATGAAAAGGTAGATAGATCTCGATGAGTGATCATTCTGTTACTAGGGACTCTAGCCAATGCATTCTGCTTTGGGGGAGGATGAGCAGAACTGAATTGCAGGAAAGAGCATCACAACCAGAATGTACTCATGGCCTAGATTGACTTGCAGATGTATGCAGTTGACCAATTTACGTATCATAGCTCGGGAAACGACAACATCCATGATCAACATCAAGTCGTCAGCTGTTGAAGGATTGGCAGGTAAAGAACCCACAGAGTTTTCTCTCTGAGTCAGTCGCTGTCCATCAATCAGCGTCCAGCAAGTCACAGACTCACAGTATGATACTTAGCAGCATTGGGATTCTCTACCGCATCGTTTTATCAGACCCAGATAGTCTACCAACACGTGGGTCGCATATTGACGTGGCGAATTGCTCCCGTTGTAGCGCGCAGTTTGGGCTTCCATCTCCACGGGTACGGCCATGAGAGTAGGGCTAGAGTGTACCACGATTCGCTGGAATTGACTGGAAGCCACAGAACAGATGGGTAGATTTTGATTGAAAAAGCTATCCATCTGATCAATTGAAGAGTGCTAAGGTAGTCAAGAATTGTTCCCGCCTTTGGGCTGATAGACTGGCCAATATGGGCTGTCAGGTGCCAGGAACGTGGCAGCATTCCAACCATCTAATCTTTCACAATGACATCAGATCTAGTCTTAATGAAAAATGCATCACTGCCTAGATTGATCTATCACCATTTAACACAATCTGAAGAGCGCTGTTTAGACTCCTTAAACATAATCATCAATGCATAATGCAGGTACCTGAGTAACAGTGGAACTACACGGGCTCATTACAATACCGTACCATGGAACTGGCAGTAATCCGCGACCCTGTGCCAGGGATCCAGGGTCTCGACTGCTGGCCAATGTGGATGCCAGGCTATAAGCACAGCCAATCGTTGCTCCTCCTGAGGCCGAGAGTCGGTAAACTCAGGAACCGTCGCTATCAACCAGCCAATCAGCAGCGGGCGTGGCTTCTTTTTCCCCTGATCGCCCCTTTTTCATTAAACAAGAGGAAGTACAGACTGTACAGAACTCCGTCAGTAAAGCAGACCCTCAGTCCCCTGCCGTTCTTCTTATTACACCCCCCAGTCCCCTCTCGGTCTCGCTCGTTCCTCTCTTCTTCCTTTTCTTCCTCTCCTCCAGCGTCTGTTTTCTCTCCCTTCCTTGGGTACGCAATTCACACTCCTTTCAAGTCTTATTCACTCTCAATCCAAGTGAGCATCACCTCGTGTCTTGCTCCTAGTCATTCTTTCATTGTCAATAAGACACTCGTGCTATTGTTGCGTTCCCTGGGCTCGTTTCTCCCCAGCAGCGTGATACCCTTTGCTTCTATCAAACTCTCATCCGAACTTTTGAACCAACTTGAATCAGCACAAGTCCCTCCTTTTTCAAAATGCAGCTCAAGAACTCGATGCTCTTGCTCACGGCGCTGACCGCTGGCTCTTCGGTCGCCCGTATGCACGGCCATGAGCGCCGTCACCTCCACCATGCCGGTGAGAAGCGCGCGGTCGGTGACACCGTCTACGCTACCATTGACGGCGTTCTGGTTTCCTGGATCAACGAGTGGTCCGGCCAGGCTAAGACCGACGCTGCTGCCGCCCCCCAGGCTACTGCCGCCAGCAACGCTGCCACTTCCGTTGTTGCTGCCGCTGCCGCCGCTACTTCGGAGTCCAGCTCCTCCAGCTCTTCCAGCTCTTCCAAGTCTGCCACCTCTTCATCGTCCGGCGTCTCCGCCCACTGGACCAACACCCCTGCCGACGGCGAGTACTGCACCGACGGCTTCGGTGGAAGAACCGACGCCAGCGGCTCCGGTATCTTCTACAAGGGCAACGTCGGTAACCCCTGGGGCAGCAACATCATCGAGGTTTCCGCCGAGAACGCCGCCAAGTACAAGCACGTCGCTCAGTTCGTTGGCAGCAACACCGACCCCTGGACTGTCGTCTTCTGGAACAAGATCGGCCCCGATGGTGGCCTTAACGGCTGGTACGGTAACTCCGCTCTGACCATCACCCTCCAAGCCGGTGAGACCAAGTACGTGGCCTTCGACGAGAATTCCCAGGGTGGCTGGGGCGCCGCCAAGGGCACGGAGCTGCCCAAGGACCAGTATGGTGGGTACTCCTGCACCTGGGGCGAGTTCGACTTTGACAGCAGCATCAACGGTGGCTGGTCCGGCTGGGACGTTTCCGCCATCCAGGCCGAGAACGCCGGCCATGAGGTCCAGGGTATGAAGATCTGCAACCACGCCGGTGAGCTGTGCTCCATCATCACCAACGGTCTTTCCAGCGTCATTGACGCCTACACCGCTGCTCTGGCTGCTGTCGATGGCATTGGCGGCAAGGTTGTCCCTGGCCCTACCCGTCTGACCGTCAACATCGACTACAGCGAGTAAACGTCTTTTTGCTCGTAGCTTTGTGATGTCCTTTCTCTTTTGGCTTGCATTCCAGATACCAATGATATCTCTTGTCTTGGGTATCTTTTCCTTGTCCTCTAGCATGTAACGGCCTCACAACCTTTGTGTTGTGACCTTCAGTCCTTCCGCCAATGTCAGGCGAGGCCCTCCAGGAAGCATCCAATCTCCCAGCCTTGACGACTTCAGCTTTCTCCGTGTACATACCTTATACCACCGTCGACTTGTGTTTCATAGTTCACATTGATTCCCTTTCCTTCGCATTCTATGTACACATCATCCCATTATGTCTGTAGCTATTGTAATTACTTAGTATATACTCTGCACTCCTTCATCCGTCACACGCTTGCATCGTAAGAGCCCCCGACCAGCCTCCCTTTTCATTCAATTACTAGCCAGTTGGCCTCTGTCCAGCCATCTGATCAGATGCTGATCTCATGTTGCACCCAGAAATAGAATCTTCACTCCAGAGCCCAGAGCCCAGAGCCCCCAACCCAATCAATGATTAGTTGCTTTGGCCTTGGGCCTAGGCGTCTACGGAGCTGGTTGAGTGAGGTTCTCCGACCCGACAAGCCGACACCTGAAACTCACTAAAGCGCCGGGTCTAAAAATACGCGCCTACTGTAGGTGGATCATGGTACGCTCGAGCCTAGGGCCTAGAGTCGACAGAGTGAGTGAGGTATCCTATCTTTAGCAATCAGCTGAGTGTTGAATCTAAGGATCAGGTTCAGGCCTGAGATGAGGAGACCCCGGAGCATTCATTGAGATCACCGAGATGATGGAAGACGAAGCATGGTTTAGCTTTGAATTTAAGGGCTGCGACTTACGAGGAGCATTAGCTTTTTCGAACCGATTTAGTAGATGTAGATGCAGATGCTCTATCCAAACCCAACACCCAGGTATCTAATAATACAGCAAGTAGTGGCTACGCGGCGCTTCATTCAAATCCCCAGGAACTCGGTGGCAGTGATTGACGTGGGCAGCTCAGGGCGCGCGACTCCCGGACCCTCCTCCTCTTCTCCCTTTGGCTTTTCCTCCGGCTCTTCCTCCTCCCATTGGCCCTCTTCCCCCGAGAAACTGAATTCGAGAAGTCCCACATGCGCCATGTACCCGATCAGCGCGGCAACGCCGCCCACCGCCGCGGCGATGGAGACAAGCACGTCTTTCTTCTGCCCGGTGGCGTACTGAGACAAGGCGTCGCTCTCTACCCCCGACAACCCTGAATCAGGCGACTGCGCCGCCTGGCGTAAGCGCTCGCTGGTGCGGATGTCTTTGAGGATCGGGGTTGCGTCGGTGAGGGTGTTTAGTAGCGTGCTGCCGACCGTGGCGAGATTGGCGCGCTGCGGAGCCTGCCAGGGCAATGGCGAGGCATCGGTGAT